AGTGACTTTTAGAACAAGAGAATCATTCCATGAGCCCCTTTGCAGTGACAGGAGCAGGGAATCAGCATTTTTGGCGCTGGATTTTCTCCTTTCTGCAAATTCTAGCATTGAGCATTATTAGCTGGGCAGGTTTGAGAAAATACAGAATTTTAAGATAATAATTAGTTTATTAGTTTTGCTGCCTTGTTAAACATTTTTCCTTGTCACAGACCTGGCGCAAACAGCAGTAACAGAGAACAGACAAATATAGAAAAATATATAATTTATTTAGTCATTATATTAAATGGCTTTTTGTCTTTATTGATATTTCATAGAAATAAATTTATCCCAGACAAGCTCAAAGAACAAATACACCTTAAGGATGGGTGACAGAGCTGCAGATTGCAGTTACATTGTTTGACTTTTATGTAGTTTCCAGTTTATTTCCGTGCTTGAGCTTAAAGAACTTTATATTTGTGAAAAGTTTATCTGAGTTTATCATTAGCAGGGGTGGCTGCTGCTCTTTTTCTGAATTTTCCAGTACAAAACTGGAACAGGAGTCTCAGGTTGGAAGGAGTGGTTGCCAGCAGTTCTGCTGTGGTTACAGTTCCTTGTTTAATGCAGGTGGAAGTTTAGGATTGTGTTGGGTGTGACTCAAGAGCTCCATGAGCAAACCTGCATTTAAGGGCAGGCTGGCTCAGGAATTGCATAAGGGATTTGTTCCTGACACTGCAGGATGAGCTGAGTGCTGTCACCAGGGATGGTTCCACTCACAGTGCTACAGGAAAAGCTGTGGAGTTCAGCTCTGCTCATAAACAACTCATTCCTAAATCAAAGCAAAACACTTCCCCAGAAAAACACTCTAGAGAAATGAATATTCTGTTTTCACCCTGTCATTTTTAGAGTGTGCCTGGCTTACTCTGGCTTGGAGCAAGCCCTGAGTGCCCTGCTGCACTGTGGCCACTGCTCTGAGATGAAAGACAAAGGGCTCATTTACTCAAAACTTAATTGTTTTATCTTGGTAGATTTGAGCTATTTACAGAAAAAGAGATTTGAAGTTGTTGCTGAGTGTCACAGTGAGCTGCTTGTTTTCCTCAAGCTCTCCCAGTGCTAAAATAATCAGTCTAAATTCTGAATTACCCCAAGTATTAGCAGCAGGAAGCCAAATGAGAATTTGAAGGAGTATGGTAATTACTGGGATGCACATATTTTCCTTGTTGGGACTCCAGAGACTTTATCGTACAATTGTGTCATGCAGAGTTTAAACAAATTACTCCATAAATAATACACTTTGTTTAGCCACAGGGAAATTTCCAGTGGTAAATAAGACAAATTGTCCAAGGTGTGAAAAAAAAATAGGTTGAAGTTATAAATAACTCACCCTTTTTTGCTTTTTCTTTAGAGGGGATGGGAGAGTCTTTTCCAAATCCAATCACTTTAGAGAATAAATTAAATGAACTTCTAATCAAAAAAGTTGTACAAATAAGTGGGTTTTTTTAATATAAAACTCTATAAAAAATTAGTCTTGGACCTTTTATTAGCCAGTGGCTAATATTAGCTAAAATTAGCCATTTTATGAGACCTGTGGCAGATCTGGTGTGTATTTGTGGTTTATCTGACTTAGGGTGGTACAAAAATGGTCCATTAGCCTTCAAATGTGACACAACAAAAAAACCCTTGTCATTTGAAATGTGCATGAAAGGACACACCCGTTGTGGTGCAGGGGGGACAGGGATCACTGAGGGTGTTTCATGGATGTTTTATGGATTTTCCTGAATTAACTGGAAATCACCTTTGCTGTCCCAGGGAAGCAGAGCTGCCCGTGGTGAGGGAGAGACGAAACTGCCTCTGCGACCTCATGAAAGTACCCAGACCCCAGCTGGTGGCCAAGGTGAGGTGGGAATGTGCTCCAGGGGCTGCTTTTTCCATGGAGCTGTCCCTGAGGATGTTCCCAGCCAGCTGCAGAACACGTGGGATGGCTGGGGCTGCTGCCTGAGGCCCTCCCAGCCCCGTTCCAGGAGCATTCCAGGCTGGCAGCGCCGCATTCCAGACACAGATGTGCAGCCACTGCTCCCCTGCCCTTCCTGGGGAAGGGGAAGCGACAGCAACTTCTCCATTTCAGCAGCAAATGATGGCATGAGGTGGTGCAGACCACAGCATTGCAGCATTGCTCTGTGGATGGATAGCATACAAAACCATAAAGTGTAAATATATACACATAAATATATATATATGTATGTAATGTATATTTTTAGATAGTTTGGACATGCCCACCATGCCCACCCAGAACTTTCTGCTTTGGTAGAGGTTCTAGAAGAGGTTTTTTAGTGTTTTAAGGAATATGTGTTGCTGTGTAGATATAAATATTTATCTTTCTTTAAAGACTCATTCTTAAGACACTATGAATACCCTTCAAAGACCTCCTGCTGACTCATGGCAGTGTCTTCACTCATTTTCCAGTTTTTACCATCTGCTTCTAGTACAATTTTAAGAAACCTCAGCTAACATTTTTATAATTCTGGGAAACAAGAGTCTGAACCTCCTGCCCAGCAAGAAGTTGTTTTTAGAACAAAAAACTGACCTGAGTGTTGCTGTTAAAAGTTTTTTAATCAAGTAATAGAAAGGTTATGCTCAAAATGAGAGATCTTACAAGATAAACTGTCTGATCTCAAAAAACTCCTTGTGTTAATCCTTAATTTTTGGAAGCTTAGAGAAGACTGATACTTTAGGAGAGAGCTGTCTCTAGGATAAACAAAATAATAAGAAATATCTAAAATATTAAGAAATAACAATATCTAAAAATATCTAAAATAGTAAAATAATAAAAATATAATAAATAATAAAAATATCTAAAATAATAAAATATCTAAAATAATAAGAAATGTCTAAATACATCTAAATCCAAGTATCTCCGAGGGAGATATGGCAGGATAAAAAGGAGAATGAAGTTGGCTTCAGCTGAAATCAATACTTTCTACTCCTTTAAATTTTGTACAAATGAAATTTGCTGGAGGGTAGTTCAAACCATGGTGTTAAAAGGACTAAATATTGCAGCTTTATATTTTCTTTTCTGTTTGGGTTACTTAATTACAGGGCTGGGAAGTGCCAGGACAGCAATGCCACACAGAGCTGCAGTTCCTCCCCCAAAAATGGCTCAAAATCCCAAATTTCCCTCCAGAAAAATTGAGAATGGGAGGGATGGGGGGGATTTTACCTCCTCCGTGTTGTGCCCAAAGCCCCCCAGGATGGATCTGAGATGGTCTTGGGTCTGGGGGTAAATCTGGGATCCCAAATCCTGCCCAGGGAAAATGGGGGGGTTTGGAGGGAGGGATCTCCCAAATTCCCAGGAAAAATGGGGAGTTTGGGGGGGGGGGTTTCCTCAATTCCTGTTAAAAACAGGGGGTTTCCCCTCAAATTCCCAGGAAAAACAGGTGGTTGGGGTTTTCTTTCCCCTTGTTTCGTGGAAAAAATAAAGGTCTCCAATTCCCAGGAAAAGCAGGGAGTTGGGATTTTGTTCTGAGTGTAAAACTCCCCAAAATCTCCCACCTGCAACCCAAAATTCCCCCCTCACTGGGAATTCCAAGGTGAAGGTGTTGGGTAGGGGGGAGCAGGGGGGCTGCCTGCTCCAAGTGACTTTTCCTTTTTCTTTTTTCCTTTTCCTTTTCCTTTTCCTTTTCCTTTTCCTTTTCCTTTTCCTTTTCCTTTCCCTTTCCCTTTCCCTTTCCCTTTCCTTTCTCCCTGCAGAGTTCAGCATGAGGAGAGCAGGTCCTGCTGCTGGGCTGTCCTGGAGCTGCTCAGTGGTTCCAGGGTGGGAAGAGGCTGAGCTGTGACATCCTGATCCATCCTGACACCTGAGCACTGCCCTGCTGGGCAGGAGAGGCAGAGCCTGCCTGAAAGCACCCATGTGCCACAGGAAGAAGACAAAAATTCCTTGTTTTCAGTTTTTAATGTTGCTGTCTGGCAGGTTCTTGTCATGCTCTGAGCTGTCTGGTTTGGTGTCAGGGTTTTGTACCTCCCTGAATGGAGCCTGTGCTTGTACACACAGCAAGAATTAAACCTGACCTGCTGCACTGATCTCTTCAAGATTGGTTTTTCAGAGGTGAGAATGGCAACACTCAGTGATACTGAAATCATCCTGAGCATCAAATGTCCCTGTGGAAAAGTCTGTTATTCCTATGCCATAGTTAACCAAAAAAATTCAGGTTTCACTTCAGCTGATGTCAAAGCCTCTCTTAACAAATAAGCAAATAAACAGCTTTAAACAAATAAAGAGCTTAACAGCTCTTTATGTAACTAATTCAGACAAACTGTTTTTGTGGTAAACTCAGTTTTGAAGAAGGTGAGGCAGTTCTTCAAGCAGCTCCAGGACTGCTAGGAGATTCCTGACTGCCAGGACTCCAGCTCATTTCTTACCCCCTACAAAATGAAATCACTCTGAAATTGATCTTTAGTGAGCTCAATGTGATGGGAGGCCACATTCTATTGTAATTACACTGTTATTTTATGGCTGTAATTAAATCCCAACAGTAGAACAGTGGCTGTGTGTGTATTGACACCTCTACAAATGTGAAAGGAAGGAAAAATACAGGCAGAGAAGCTAAAACCAAGCCAGCTTCTCTGTGAAGTAAATGCTGCAAACTGCAGGTGTTCACTTCCAACCCGGCTGGCTCACACTCTGTTTGGTTTTGAAGAAAGTAACTATAAATGAGATTATTCAATACTTCTTAAGGATTCCTGCAAGCTGGACTGGGAGTTGGAATTAGTGGAGCTCACTGACTGTTAATCACAATTTACCAGCAAACTGAGTGATATGCAACAGTAAAAGTAGTAATGCACACAGTAAAAAAACCCCAGTAATAACTACTAATATGCACAGTAAAAAGTAATGCACACAGCATTACCCTGGTGTAACTGTGACCTCCCTTACAAAGGGGTTACTCAGCCCAAAGATTAAATTAACAAATCCCAAATGACTAAAAAGTTCTAAACCCCTGAAGAATTTGGTTTTCCTGCACCCAGACACACAGAGAGCAGCACTGCCTCACCTTGCTTTAGTTAAAGTGATAATAATCCTTCCCTTCCTTCAGGTTCAGCGTGGCCAGGTTTGTTTCAAAGGCTCCACCTGTCATGTCCTGTGAGGGAAGAAGAAGAAAATGAGCTCAAACTCATTTCAGGCTGTAGCAGGTTGGGGTCACTGATTCTTTAGGCCAGAAAAGAAAGTTCCATTTGCAGAACCAAAGGCCCAGGAAAGTTTCTATTGAAAAATTCAGGGGCTTTTGAAAATCTAGTGTTCAAATCAGTGTTGGGGGGATATGAGACAGCTCCTCCCTCTGCAGTGCTGCTCTGGGGCACACAAAGGCTGCTCAGCCCAGCTCTGCTCTGGTGTTTGCCAACTCTGACATTGGCAGAAAATGGACAAAACAAGGGGTTTGGGTGGATTCTGAGCACTGATTAGGTTGTCTGATAAAACAAGCCCTTCATCAAGCAGATGAAGTACTCTGCAGAGTTAAAGGTGTTTCCTTTTGAACCCCAGTCAAGTTATCAGGACAGGAACTGGCTACATTTGGTCCTTGAGCAACTTCAGTGATGTCATTAAGAAAACAGGGCAAATTCAGCATTCCTGAGCACTTCCTGCAATCCTGAATTACTGCTCTTAAGGAATGTCACCAGAAAAAAATCCCCCCAAAAAATTAACATTTGTGTGGTTGGCCCAGAACAGCAAGAGTGAAGTTTTAACTGTGAATGTTTAAGATGGGAAGTTACAGAAAGGGAATCCAACTGGAATTGAAGGAGTGGGAAAAAAATAACCTGCTTTGTAGAGGGTTTAAAAAAAACACATAAGAGTCCAGATGCTAAATTAAGTGGGAGAGTTAAAGACAAATCTTTCATTCACAAAGCACAGGAAAAGCCAGGCAGGGCTGTACAATAAGAGATTTAACTACAAATTTTCTGAAAACTTTATACAATCAAACTACTTTAATTGCTGTGACAGAAAAATAAAAATCCCTTTCATTTCCAGCCGTTGGAATCCAAGCCAAGGCAGGGCACAAAGCGGCATTTCCAAGCATTTTGCTTTTACCTCCAAGCAAGAGCAAACAGGGAGCACAAACCCTTGGGTGAAGTGGCCCTGAGCAGCTAAAGCCACACTTTGATTCTCTTCAGCAAAAACTCACACACAGAGAGCAGAATTCCAGCCCCAGCTGCCTGTGAAGCCATTGTAAAATGAGCAAAGATCAGAGGATGCCTGCTTCTTGCAGAGGGATTTGCTCTGGTACCAAAGCCATGCCAGTGCTCACAAGGGAGGAACTGCCTGAAAAAATAAATGAGCCAATGCTGCTCCAAGTACATGGCCAAGAGAGTCACTTCTTGTAAACAGCCCACTTAATAAACACATCTAATCTCCAAAATCACCCTCTCAGCGCTGCAAAGGAACATGCAGGTTTTGTCTGTATCAAAAGGAAAAATAATCCCCTACCTTGAACAGCAAAATAAAAGCCAATAAAGCCCCTTAAAGCACACTTCCTTCTTCAGAAAATGGTGATGAACTTTGGTTGGTGAAGAATAAGCAAGCAGAAAATGCTCAGTGGCCATGAGAGGAAAAATAGACTGAAATCCCAACTGCAGTCAGAGAGCAGAGTTTGCAGACAAGATGTTGTATAATAGTCTCATTGTAAGGGCTTCACAGATTAAATGTGCTTCAGAACAGGTTGCACAGATGTTTTGTCTGGGGACTTCCACCCACTGTTATATGCAGTATGAAAAATTAAATTAGTTGTAATATTCTTTGCTGATCCAAGAGTTTATCAAGCAGCAGTACAGGATAATGCCCCAAGGCACTCCCAGTCTGGCTTTACAACCCAAGTTCTGAGCCCAGAGCTGATCAGGAGGCTGGGAGTGCCAAGTTAAAACAGGCTGTACCAGAGGAGAGGAGATCCAGCTGATCCATCCCTGAAGAGATCAGCCCAGCATTACAATGTCAGTGTTGTGTGGAGCTGCAGGTTTTAGTCGCTGTCAGAAGGGTTTCTATTGTTTTTTACCACTGCAATGTATTTGCTATTTTAAATCTGTGTTACAACAGCAGAAGAACTGCTGGTTATCATCTAATTATATTATCAGGGCAATTGAACTACTTGAAATAAGTTACCACAGTCAGATAGAGAAAATTCTTCAGAACTGGCAGGGCCAAACTAAATGCTTTTTAAGGTCTGATTTAAAACCAACGCCTTTGCCGTACATGGGCCTGCAAAATTCTTGGCCTAAAGGAGGCTGAGTGCATGTGCTCATTGGAGTATATTTGGTATTGGGGAAAGAAGTACAACAGATCCAGCCCCTTCACAGAAGCTGTTCCTTTTCTTATTCTTAATTAAGTTGTCCCTTTCCTTATTCTTAATTTTACCCAATACTGCTGATTTAAATCCCAAAATACCCTGCACAATCAGTGTGATAAAAAAAAAGCCATTCAGTAGAACAAAAGCTTCTGGGAAAAGGCACTTACAGTGAATAGAAACTCATTTTCCTGAGGAGCAAATGGTGCTCCTGCAGGTGAAGCCAAGGGTGGGACTCACCAGCTTCACACAGATCACAAAGGGTGGAGTTGCATCCCTGAAGTGACACACAGGAATTTTTGGTTTTGGTCTCTCCTGCAGGAGGAAGGGGTACAGAAGCACTCAGGTTACTTGCCAGCTTGGTTTTAGGAGCTGCTAAACTCAAAAAGGGGGGAAAATGTGTTGAGCTGTGATGCTGAAGAGAGCTTGCTCATTCTCTGCCTGTGGTGTGAAGTTACACCAAATCTCAATTTCTGCTCCCAAGAGGAGCAGCTCTCACTGCTCCACTGCTTCCTCCTCACCTCCAAATTCTACTTCCAGCCCTTTCCCAAACAATTCCCTCTTTGACCTGATGGGCAATGTGTGCAGCTTCAATGGCTTGTCCCATAACAAACTGTTCCTCTTTTTTTGGTTAATTTTTTGCCATTTTAGTGAACTGCATCCATTCCTGTGCCCTCAGACAGCATCAGAGCAGGCACAAGGGCAGAGACAGAGGAGGATCCCTCCCTCCTGCTGGAGCTGTTAAAGGGCTAAAGCTCAACTGGGTTCAGCACAGATCCAAGCTGCAGGATTTTGTAAGGATTCACAACAGCTGCAGTACAATCTTTACAGCTGATCTGAGAAAATGGGTTTGTTTTTGGAAGACCAATGCCCAGGATCTGTGTCAGTCACACTGACAGTATTACTGAGCTGCTGGGCAGTGAGTTCTCAGAATTCCAGGCTGAAATGCTGATCTCAATTGCTTCCATGCAGCTCAAACACTCAGTGTTTTCCCAGTATGGAACTGTATGGTTCCTCCATGCTGTACCTGAGGAGGGGCCCTCCTGTCCCTCCTTCCCTCAGTCCCACTCCCATCAGGGTAATTTGATTCACAAGATAATTAGTTGGAAAATTTTCAATTTTGAGGGTTCCTTCATAAACCAAATTCCACTCCCATTTAGAAGACACACCTGTCAGTGAAGACTGTTTTGCCCCATCATCAGGATCCTTTCAGATCCTTTCTAAACTGACTTCACTGAGTGTGAAGCTGACAGTCCTTGCTCCAGTTTGCATTCCAATGTCCATTCCCAGCCCTCCAATGTTCTGTCACTGCCTCTCCACCAAAATGAGCTGCTACACAACTACAAGATCAGTGACAAATTCCTTCATCACATTCCTCAGGACACTTCTAGATCACAATAAAGAATGCAAGAGTGCCTATAACTCACTTTAGACTCCTCATAGGTGTAGAATCCTTTTGTTATTTTCTTTTCATCAACATCACAAAATGCAGTTACCTGGAAAACAGCAGCAGAATGTTTCAGTAACCCCATTTCACCTGTAATGTATCTGTGAGCAGAGCTGAGGCATGGGGATGGACACAGGAGTAGGACAAAGCACCCTGGGGCCTCCTTTGGAGCTTAAACCCTGATTAAATCCTTTCTGGGTCTGTCTCAAGGAGTGGAGAAAATTCTGCAGGTGTCTATGAGCACATTCTGATCTAAGACACTGACTGCATAAGGGAACAGCACCAATCCCATCCTCAGGGAGTAAACTCATCCCAGAGATCAGTTTCTTCATGTTGGCACTTCCACTAAAGCCCAGGATGAGATGCAGTAAGAGCCTCTCTCTTCCTGTCCCCCCAAGCATGGGATGTACCCCAGACACCTCAGGACCACTGCTCTGGGTGCCTCAAATCCAGGGCACAGCACACCAAATCTGGGAATTCCTATGGTTGTGGACTTGAATTTCAACTGAAAAGCTCAGCAGATCTGATATTTAAACACAAATAATTACTGCTTCACTTTGCTTATTCTTACTGGAGTTATGAAAGCATTATTTGCAGCCCTAGGTGCCAGATATTTCAGATGGGTTTTTATTTGCATTCCTCATAAATATGCAGGCAGAATAAATGCCTGCCATCTAAAATACACAGTGGCCTTATTTTTGAAAGTCACTAGGTTGCCAGGAACATTTTGGAAGACTTTTTAAAATAAACATGGCTATGTTTTCTTCTGACTTCCGTTGGATCTATTCATATTATCTACATGGAGCTCTTATGCTGAAGCAGAACAGTTGAGATAGTTAAGGTCATACAGAAATCAATTATTCTGGTGAAAGCTGGATAGCAGCTTTCATATCTTTTTAATTGCTGCATTAAAAATTGATTAACAACACTTACTGCTGAGAAAATCTGAAAAGCCAAACAGCTGTTTATTAATTTATTAAGTTAGAGAAGGTTGAAAAGGCTGGCTGGCTTTCCATGTCTAAAATCTCTCTCACACATTTTCTTCCTGTGATTTAAGATGGTTTTCTTTTACCTAAAGTAACCTCATTCTGTTTGTGCAGAGGGTTTTTCTAATACCCTATCACTTCCTTCATTAAACATCAATGGCAAGAGAATGCAAACAAAACTATCAAGGGACTGCAAATAAGGCTGCAAAGCACCAGTGTCCAAAGCAATGAGGGAACTGAGGGGATAAACTGGGCAGGGACAGTCCTTGGAACCCCTTAGAGAGACACAGGGAGACCTGGAGAAGACAAAACAGGCACCAAAAGAAGAACAGAACATTAAGGAAATATGGAATTTGCACTCTGGGGCTGAGTGAGTGAGGAATCACATCAAGGGCACACCCCTTTGCTTTGGGATTGCATGAAGGACATGAACCCTGTGTCAGCACTGGAATGGGAATAGAAGGGAAGGAGGGAATTCAGGAAGGTGCTGGAGATTGTACAAGGTGTTTGTGGCTGGTGCAGCTGGGTTAGAGGGACAAGCACCTCCTTCACTGATTGATCCACTTTGCATCCCCGGCCCCATTCCCATGCCCACTGCAATGCTTTGGGGTAGCTGCAAAATCAGATGGTGTGGATGTGTACACACACAGAGATTTATAAATGTGTGTGTACATGAAGGGAACCAGTACAAGTCACTGTGGGAAGGGAAGGGAAGGGAAGGGAAGGGAAGGGAAGGGAAGGGAAGGGAAGGGAGAAAAGAATTCCCTAGCTGTATTCTCTTCATTCTGTGCTTTAAAATTCACTAATATTCAGCAAATCTCAGTTCTACCACTTGTGTTTTACTGTCCTGGAAGCTGTGATCATAATAAACAATATTTAGCAAGATATGCCTTCAATGTCAACCCAAGAGAGTTCTAGGAACAAAGTACAATATGTTGATTTACTGTCCAATAAATGAAGTTATTTTTGGAGCTGATTGTGCTCTTATAGGTAAAAAAAACCAAAATAAACCACCAAAACTTATGACACAAGGTGAAGTGAAGTTCTATTTACATTTCTCTGTCACTAACTGAGAATTCAGCTGCAAGATCTGTGCTGGAAAGTCTCACTGTTCACCCTCAGTGTGTTACAACCCAGTCAACAGAAACCCCTGAGTGGTGCCTGGACTTCTCAGCAGGAATCAATTTCTTCCCAATATCTAATCTCAATCTCTGTCAGTTTAAAACCATTTCTCCTTGTCCTGTCACTACATCCCCTTGCAAACAGTCTCTCTCCAAAGACACTCCTTGTATCACTAAATTGCCATTAATTCCACCTCTCCCTCTCACTCCATCTCTCCAATTTCTGGCTGTAGAAAACTCTGCCCTTTCCAGCCCCCAGAACACTCCACACAAACCCCTCAGTGAAAAAAAGAACACAGATGAGTCTGTGACAAATTTCCCTTTTTGATGGAAAGAGCTCAAACCCTTTTTGTTATCACTGAGGTATTTCCCTGTATAATTCCCAATGGGCTCAGGCAGCTTAGACCTGGTATTTACAGTAGTAAAAAACAGGTCAGACCTGAATGGGTGATTTTTCTGCAGCCTGCACACCATGTGGGTGGCCAAAATGTAAGGCAACTCTTTTTCTGACACACACTATTTATTTTCCAATTAAAGCAAAGCTGTGTTTGGAGTCTAAATACAGGACTTGGGCACAGTTGTTTATCCTATAAGGAGAAGCCAGGGCATCAGGCTTGTGGGAGTTATTTACTTTATACACTATCAGGATAAACCCAGAGACACCTATTTATTTTCCTGCATTAATGGCCTTCTTTCTTGTAGCTTTTATGAAGAACATCTATGCACACATGAACTCCTGTCTCCCTGTGAGAAACCATGAATTATAAAGCTATAGGGGAGTCTCAATTTGCTTTTTTCCAGCCTCTCCTTTTAGCAAAATTACTCTTTGGCAGTATGACACACTGAGTCCTCAGATCACACTTCAGCGTTACTAAAATATATGAATTATTACATGTTTTTGTTTTAAACATGTATAAAAATCTGCACAATTACAAAAATTCCAAAGGAAAGAACACTGCTAATTCTCTCAGCTCAAAACTGGAGGAGCTGGGTCACTGCTACAGGCAAGCTAAGGAACTACTGTAAGTCATTTTTATAAATATGGACTGCAACTTCCACTAACAGTGGTGTAAGGGGAAAAGGAGAAATTGCCTTCTCCCTCCAAATAGAACGTTTACATTGCTCAAAAGATAAGATACCAACTCAGAAACAACCTCTGCTAGGGGATGACACGTTTGAGGAAGATAAAAGCTCTTTTCTGGCTGCTCTTCCTCATAAACACAGGGGCTCAGCAGGGCCAGGCTGGGGCTATCAGACCTCCCTGGGGAAAGGAGATTAAAGGCAGCACATCCTCCTCCAGGCCCAGCAGGAGCAGCAGTGACAGAAGGGAGCCTTGGGGTGCAGCTGGGAGCTCCTGCCTGCTGGAGCTCTGCTGGGATTGCACAACAATTTAATTGTTTTTTCCTGTGTGACTGGTTGGGTACTGCAGACAGCGTTTGCTCACACTTCCCATTCCACTCAGATTTCATCATGGAAAAACGGAAAGGTTTCATCACCCTAATGATGTCCTTTTATGGTGAATGATCTTCACAGGATTTTGTTTTCACCTGTGGTCTGTAACAGCCATTTACAGAAAGCAACAACCTGAAATCAGCACATTCTCAGGTCTGGAAGGATATGAGAGGCAAGTTCCACATGGGAGAGTGAATAACTGAGTGGAACTTGACAGAAAACTGGAAAACCCTTCCAATAAATGGTCACCTGCACACTGGGACTTCTCCCTCCTCCTAACATCAGCTGGTGTACTCAGAGTCACCTCCAAAGACACAACCTGCAAAATCCTACTGAGTAAAATCCAGAGACAACCTGCAAAATCCTACTGAGATCTTCCCTGCTGCATTCCCTCCCCATCTCGTGGAATCTCCCATCTGTTTTAAACTTCTGTTAATTCTTCTATTTATAATTCTTTCATTGAAGCTTGTAGAAAGCCTCAGGAGCATGTTAATATACATCTCTGCAAAAGCAAAATCAATTTTGGCCACTCATGTCAAAACAAAGCAACTGAAAGCATTACAATGCAAGTTCACATAGACAGAGCTAATGAAAAAACAGGACAAGAGACACAAGGGCATGAACAGCTTCTGCCATGCCATGGAACCGGCAAGCACCAGCCACAATCTGAGTGATTTTCTGACTTTCTGTACCAGGAGCTGCTTTTATTTCACCTCTTTAGCACTACAGCCAGGACAGAAGCTGAGGGTATCCTTAAATCCCAAGAATGAATTTCATTATTCCATTTAGACACCATTCCACTGAAAACAGCAGCAGCTTCCCCTTTTTGCTCATACCCACAACAAAATCAATGGAGAATTTTAACACCAGAATCCAACATGCAAAATCAGCTGCTAAACACTGGATATGAAACATTCCCCTTGTTATGTACAACACACACCGGCCTTCATAGGGACCTCACTGCCAGAGACTCATTCCTGCAGAGGAAATCTGAGTGTGCCAGGCACCTTTTGGGTGTGCACAGCTCTGTGCTGGCAAAACAGAGCTTGCAAACAGCACTTCCTCCCACATGGAAACAACAGGGAGTTTTCCTGGCCAAGAAGCGTTCACTACAGCCCAAAATGAAGCCTTGATTTACCCCATGTCATTTTAGGATGTTTTAAACCTGGATTTAAGTGAAACTTTCAAATTTCATCTCCTTCCTTGTTCTGGAGGCTTTTAACTTGCTTTCACACTGCCATTCCACTGTAGAGGTGGGTGCAACATTATTATCCCTTTATTTATTTTTCTTTGATTTCCATGTCCCCACTCCAGGCCCTGACAGTGCCACTCACACACTTTCAGAATGGTTAAAATGCTGCAAAATTTGAACATTTCTTGGCTGTGCGGGTGAGCTGAAGGACCAGAGCTGCAACACAAGTTTTGGTGATGCTGCCCTTGGAAAAAGGCAGAGGGAACCCAATGGATGATTTTGAATGGTCGATGAGCCAGGGAAAAGCGCCTTCAAAAGACTTTTTCTGTTGTCACAGAGGAATGGCATGGCCTGGCTGTGTACAAGCACTGTTTCCAGCCCACTAATGAGCTGATGCTTATTTGGGCCTTTCCCCTGCTTTTCCATGAGCCACTGGAACTCTATTTTCAGCCATCGGAAATGACACGAAATGTTAATGCTCAAGTTCTCCTTTTAGCTGAAGTCTGATGGAGAATAAAAGAGCAGACAAGACAGCTCAGAAACCCTCGAGGCACATGGAGCATCCCAAAAAACATTTGGTTTCCATCTTCAGCTGCAAATTATAGACACAACGGATGTGTTTTAAACAAAAAAAGGCCTGTTTGACTTCATTCTTGCAGAAATGCTAATACTGAACCAGTCAGCAGTGTGAATCAAGAAGGGGACAGCCAGGAAGCAGAATTTCCCTAAGAATACTGAGATCATGGTAATTAATTCATAAAAAAACCTACTAGTGGAATAATTTTTTCGTGTGTTGCTGTTTAGCAAAAATCCTGAGCCTTGGATTTTTGCCTGACTCCTTGGGAGACAAAGCATCACTTTAATATTCAGTATACAGATGGCTGAGGGAAAAGAATTGCTGAGGTGTCCTTTTCTCTTTTAACATAACCACAGCTCACATTCACACTGTTTCCCAAACAAACTAAAGTAACAATTTGTTAGTGAGTATGAACATAGACAGACTGCTGCTTCCTGGAATTGCCTGAATTTTGTTTTCTAAGAAACAATTCTCTTTGGCACAGGGCAGAGCTGGGCTTTTCAACATCCCACAAAGACCCTGTCAGCAGAAGAAATGCAATTGCTTTGTTTACCGGGTTCTAAAAATACTAGAAACATTATTTTCTTCTTGAAAAAGATGTTTTCTTACACACCCTAAGCCTGACAGTTCAAATTATTTAATTCTCTTCCTGAGGATTTAGTACAGTCCAGGTTTGTTTCAAAATTACAAAATAATACAAGATGTATGTAGGAGGGTTTTTTTGAGGTCTTTTTTTTTATCCTAGGAGTTTGTGTCCCAAATTTTCTGCAGGTACTTGGTGCCAATTGAGAAAACAACCCTGCAGAGACTCCACAGTGCAGCCAGAGTCAGTCAGGACATCTGGTGAAATTCTGCACCTCAATAAAAGTATGCAGACAAACAAAGCATAGGTGAAATCTCAGAAGCCTAAACTTATATATATATATATAGCTTTAGACAGCTATATTCTGTCTAAACTTAATTTTAGTTGGCTTTATACTTTTTTAGATTTTAATATATATAAATATAAGATCATTGTCATTATGATTATTATATATAATAATGAAATAATATACAGAATATAACTGTCATAATAAATCAATAAATAAAAAAACCCGTATTTAATGGACAGGTCTGTCCTTTCTGAATAAAGCAACTGATTAATTGAATATCTTTTCATCCAGCTCACCCACTGCCACATGATGGCAATGACTGAGGGTTGGCACTGGATTGACACTGGAATATCAAGCAGAAAATTCAGTTCAGTTTTTGCTTTGTACATTTACTGCCATGCCTATTCAGTAATTCTAACTGTGTGTATACAAATGTCTTCTATTTTTTTTATGTGTGTGTGGTCTGAGGGCCACAACATTAATCAGGTTTTTATATGTATTTGTCATTTTGTCTTCCCATCCATATTCTTAAGAAAAGAAAAACACATGCAGCAATAAAATGAATGTTCTGTGGCTCATTATAAGAAACAGCCATTTGACATTAGCCCTAAAGCCTTTATCTAACACAAAGTTATTGCACACAAGAAAATGCTATAAAAATAAGGTATTTAGACTCTTGGACAAATCTATCCTGAGAAAGATCTGCCACTGCCAAATCCCAGCATTTTCAGCTGACTGTGAATGGCACAGCCATGTCCAGCAGTTTCTGCTCACCCTTTCAGCCCACACCAAACCCTTTTTTTTTGGCAATCAAATCCTTTTTGGCAATCAGTCCCTTTCCAAAGGGACTCACAATGATCAGGGCCGTGCCCTGTATCCACTTTGGAACTGGGCAAATATTACACAGGTGTGGATGACCCTGGACAAGGCAGTTCAGCACCCAAATAAATAAAGAGCTGCTCTACTCACCCTGAGTACCTGCCTACTACAGCTGTGTCTCACCTACTACTGTGCTTAGCAGGAACACGGTGCATTTTGCCCATCATAGGCTCTAAATAAAATATCATGGCATTTTAAAAGAAGAAATACATCACACAGAATATTGAGAATTGCCCCAATTTATATAAATTATCAACTAGTACTTTGGGTTGGATTAGCAGCATCACGGGGGCATATGAAGAAGTGGGTTTGTACAAATGTCACTTTCCAGCTCACCTTTTTCTGATTAGCTGGTGACAAGCTTCTGTAGAGTTTCTTGCCTTGCTTGCCAGCATTCCAAATGGTGAATGATGTCCAGGAGCTCAGGACTCTGTCCTCAAGGAACCTGACTCGGTGATTCCAGATGGTTTCCCTGGAGAGTTGGAAAAAGGGCAGATTCTGGTTTAGCATTATTATAGAGCTATGTGCACATGTACACACTCACCTACAGGTAAACCTGACCAAAGTGATTCATATAATACCAAAAAAATTAAAATCACATCAGAACATTAGATTGGAAATTTCTGAGGGAAATGTAGGAAAGAAATTCTGTGGAAGTCCTCAGATAAAAAACATTTGGTCAGTTTACAGCCTTAGACACTGAAGAGCTGCTGACATCTTCCACAAGTTCAAGACAGGTTCTCAGAAAGCAATGTCAAGGAAAGCAGTTTGTTCATGGTCCATTTCTCCCAACTGGCAAATCCACTTGGACAACCACAGCTTTTTTCATGTTTGAGTGTGTTCTACCCTACAATGCAATATTTAAGACTGCAACATTTATCGTGGATTAAAGAAAACTGCCTGCTGTTAAAAACATCTGCTTTATTTCCAGTATTCATTTAATATTCATTAACTAGGAACCCACCTCAGACTTATCAAACAGTTTCCTAAAGAAAATAAATTGATTTCCTCAATTTGACAAATGAAACTTCGTAACATATATCTCTTGAACAAGGCACCTTGAGCTGTAACTTTCTTTCCCAGGAAATTCTGATGAACCCCCAGTGGTGTCTCCTTATTTAAGGCAAACTTCGAGTGGAGTTTTCCATTTTCTTATTTGCATCATTCCTTCACAGCCCCAGTTCTGTTCTGAAGAGCACACAACCCTCATGGGACCCAGTGACCCCACTTCACTTCAGCACAGCCAGATCCTGCTCAGCACTTCATCACTGATCCTGCTCTGATAACTTGGAAAAGACCTCGAGCACAAATAAAATTTCCTCACAGCTCCAAGGATGATGGCTCTGCACCAGCATTTCAACTAATGGGGAAAAAGAAAATTTTGGATTTGATCAAAAATCTCTTCTAATGCAACCACAAGATGCATTCCTGCTGCAAAGCTTTAACTGCTGCTGGCATCCTTTGACACTTGCCTTTTTCCATGTTCATGAGAGCATACTGCAGTCCCAAAGGAAAGTTTAAGGAACAAAATATGAACGTCAGGTATTTTTCCAGGATCACTTTACTAGAATTTCTGCGTGCTTCTAAAAAGGAAGATTATTGCTTTGCACATAAATGGATAGCTTTTAAAAGTGATTTTCCTTTGAAATGTGACTTCAGAAGGATAACACCATATTACATTCCAAAGGATCTTCAGAATCTCTTCTGTTGGCTTGAGTGGCACTGGCAAGTTTCTTTTCCACTTGAGTTTACAACATTAAGGAAACTAAAGTAAAAAACCAGGCAGCCTTACCAGGCATGAAAAGAACTTGTAACTAATTTCTAGGTGCAGTGCAAACACTGCAATCTACCTCCAGGCTTATAAAATATGTTTTTATTTCATGGAGATAGAGGTCCCAGCAAGGCAGTGTTGGTTCTTCCAGGCCAGGAGACCTTCAGTGCCCTACTGAGGTAAAATTCAATCAGACCAAGTCTCAGAGTTGTTAATCACCCATGAAGATTTCAGACTGAAGGAGATTTAAGGAGATTTACTGACTCATCTCACCTATCAATGCTATCCTGGAAAAGCAAGTGGGGAAAGCTTGTAAGAGAACTGCACTCTGAAATAAAAGGGTAGGAAAGGTAATAAACTCCAAATTAATTGGGTTGTTGTTCAGCCACAAGAATATTGTCAGACAGCTTCATTTAACAACAATAAAAACCTTTCTTAAATATGTACTGTGGGTTGTAAAAACAAAGCCAGTATACCCAGCAGTTGGGATGTTTTACTTGCATCGCAATGAGGCAATCTTATGACAATGCCCACAGAAAAGCATTAGAAGCTCACATTGTTGTGTTGTGAGGGTCCCCAGGATGAGGTGAGAAACGAGAATTGACTTCAAGTTCTCAGAAGGATGATATGATATGATATGATATGATATGATATGATATAAATTGTATGATGATATGAAAAGAAAATTATATACTAAAACTATACTAAAGAAAGAGGAGACATCAGAAGGCTAGACAAGAATGATAATAAAAACCAGTGACTGACCAGAGTCCCAACAAAGCTGGACTGGGATTGGTCATTAATTAAAAGCAATTCACATGGAAACAATCAAAGATGCTCCTGTTGGTAAGCAACCTCCAAACCACATTCCAAGCAATCAGATATTGCTGAAATCAATTGTTTACATTTCTTTTCTGAGGCTTCTCAGGAGAAAAATCCTTGCAAAGGGATTTTTCAAAAAATATCACAGTGGCACTCACACCTCCACTATCGTGTGTTTTCAATGAAAAAATTAAGTTCTATCAAACACTTTGAAGTCTTGACTTAACCCTGGAATATTTTTAACAGTGCAAGCTGAGATACCAGATCAACACAGAACTGAGGGGAGAATTTAGAGTGACACTCAGAGGCTTCATCTTTGTGAGAACTCCCTCTGCACAAACAATCCCACAGGCTGGGCAAAGGGAGCTTACAGGTGTCAGAGGAGAGAGTTTCGGTTATTCCCTTCAGGTTTCCGCTTCACCTAAGTTGCCACCTTTTTCTTTTCTTTTTTTTTTTTTTTTTTGATGTTTCCAGAAGAGATAACTGGGATTCCTGCCTGGAGGGATAAGGGAATGCCATTTTCCCATCCTTCAGCAGCCAGTGCAGGTGCTGCAGACAGGAGCTGCAGCAACGTGCAAAGGGTAATTAAAGAAAATGCCTGAAACGATCCAGAAGTTGTACAAACCACTACTCAGAGATGATTCTCACAGCTATTTTCAGATTATGCATTATTACATATTCACAGCCACCAGCAAAACCAAGGAGGTATTATTACTCTGCATCAACTCCAAATCAAGACAGCTTTTCCTACCCATCTCACAAAAGATTAGAGTAAGCAATTTGCAGCAGCCTTTAGTGCCATGTCCAAGCCTGCATTCAGTTCACAAGATTTTCCTCAGCCAGAAGGTGGGACAAAATTCTTCTCAACGTACAAATTTGTTGCCATATCCTAACGCTCTTTCTTGACCCCAAATCTTGAAATACATTATTTCCCCCATTCCTTTCATTTTGTTACAACTTTGTAAAAGAAATGTTAGGAGTATTTCCACTCGAAATGTCATTTTTGAGGCTCACATAATTTTCCTAAGATCTGACTTGCCCTGGCCCCTCAATGCTCATCAGTTATGGAGCCTGGGAGGAAGAAGAGGAGCCAAAATCCTGCAGGAGTGAAACGAGGGTATTCATGCAGAGGGTGAGAATGACTACACCGTGTGTTCCTCAGCCCCAAGTAGTTATTACCAGACCATCCACCCAAGTAATGCAACAATGGAGCTCTGTTAAAAATGTGTGGTGACCCTACTGACTGACTACAGGAGTCAAGAAACATCTGCTCTACTCCCATTTTGAAATGAAAGATAATGTGACAATAAAAGCAACATGATTTAATGTCTGAGCTCAGTCAAACCTCACCATACTGTTGCACTGCCTTTCCCCTCCTTTCCCCCAGTGAGGCCACATAAGTGAATCCACAGAGCAAAGACAGATGGACAAGTACTTGAGCAATGCAGAAATACAAGCCCAATATCCTGAACAGTACTGGAATTTTAGGCATGGATTGCCATCCACAGAAATCCTATAGATCCATAAATCTGGCCTTTTCTCCCTGTGCTGGCCCTGCACGGCGCTCAGGTAACACCAGGCAGGAAGAGGAGCTGCCCAAGTGAGCATCCTCTTCCAGGGCCCTTTTATTGATGGCAGGGTAAGAGAGTTCTGGATGAGAGGTGAATCTCATCTGATTCTCTGGTTTATCGATCTCTCTGATCGATAAACCAGAGAACTTCATCACCACAGTGAGAGCTGAAAAAGCAGATCCCTTACAGCCAGTGCTGCATGCAGAATCCAAGGCCCTTACCATCCACAGGAAATTCAGAAATAAATCCTGTTTGAACCTTGGCCATACTGGTGAATAAACTGATTTTTCTTGCCGTTGTTGTTCTGTTGAACTTCATGTGAACTTATTAATTGCTGGACTATATCGTCCCACTGAGTTATTACATTTACACTGTTAATAGGTTCTATTAATGTCTGGGTTCATCTTCAGGTCACGGGTCATTAGCTGAGGCATGGTTTGCATTGTGGCCTATTTTTCATGAAAGGCTTATTAAGAGAGACAGAGACTATCAATGTTAATGGCATTTACTTTTCAAGAATCTAATGAGGTCATTAGTTTCCATGTTTAATTGAAGTGCCAAATCCAAGCATAGAAGATAAAAATGCAGTTGACCTCATCTTAATTTCAGCTCTACAGGAGTATGTTATTCCTCTCTCCTGCCTATTTTTGGCTGTGTGTGATTGTGCAGGAAATGAAGGAGGCATTCCTGTGCTCACCACAGATCCAAGACCTGGCCTCAGAGCACCTCTGAAACAGCCAAATGTGTGTTTCACACCAATGTCTGCTCCTCTTCGCTCAGATGACACTGGAAGCTTCCAGTGCCTGAAACCAGATGTTTTCAATAGATTATGTAATTCTGCTTATTCCTGCAGAGCAACATCTTGCTCATTCTGAGCACAGGGGAACTGAAATTACTGAAGGTGCACTTCACCTTTTCTGTGTAAGAGGGAATTGCTCAGATCTTGGACAGAAAGTACAAGCCCTCTTTACCACATGTATTAAATTTGTCTTGACTAAAAACTTGTAAACTGCTCCAAGGATTAGTGCATGCCCCAACCACCTGTCTTCATGAGCTGCACCACCTAAAGACAAGTGCAATTTTTTATTGCTCACCTCAATCCAAGCTCACTTTCATCTCGCAGTGAGGTATTGTTGTATATACAGTTCCTTTCTCTCCCCTTTGGCAAGATAATAATCTATGAATTTTAACATGTTTTTACGATACATTAGACTTTCTTACTCCAGTATTCCACACTCTAAACTCTGCTATGGTCTCACATCAATTTAATGTGGCCATGCAGCACTGAGTACACACAACCCTAGGGTACAACACCAACTAAAGTGATTTAGATCCAAGAGATATGAAAAGTGGGATTTTGTGCTGTGAATTCCTAGCTGAGAGAAGTTTCTCAAAATCCAGCAGGTATCCATCACAGACTTTGGATGAAATGACAATGAGAACATTCATATTTCTGCATGCACCCAATGAAATCTAAACACAGACACTGAACTTCATGCAGATTCTGTCACACACCCAAAACATTTAATAATGCAGACTGACGCCTCCAGGGTAAGGGAGAATGCAAATAAGATTTGGTTTCCTGCTTCACAGATATTCTCAACTCCAGATATGTGTTCCAGAAGGATACTAATCATAGGAAACGACCTAAAGCACATGAGTGTTTACAATTATACGTACTAAGTAAAAAAATAAAAGAACCAAATATCACTTGCCAAGCAGTTTTACACATATTTTAGGGAGTCTGAAAATGCAGTGAGGCTTCTTTCCCCCTGGAAGGTTCTGAAAGACACTCACATAAACTGAAACCATCACAGGCTACGAGTGACTGATGTCTTTACTGGAAAGAATGAATGATGCACCTTTGTATAAAAATGGCCTGCTGTGGTTTTTAAGACTGAAACCAGTGTTAAAAAAAATCAACTTTCCTACAGCATCATTTTGAGCTCAGACAAGATATTAATTTGGCTGGTGAGTTACTACTTCCAAATCTAGGTCTAGGCAAACTCAAAATTTAAAGATGACCTGGGTCAATGGCAAAAAGCAAAACACCACAGAAAACTGCTCAACAAAACACACCATATAAAGAAAAAGGCTTCTAGAGAAGCCAGAGCCTACATTAAATAAGGTGGAATGACCAAGAGGCAAATTACGCAAGACCCAATTTAGATTATAAACTTAAACCTTTGTGATGAGTCCATGAATCTCTTTTTGCTCAACGTTCCTTTCAGTCTCCAGACACAAACACTGGGCAACCCTTCAGAACTCGGGCAACAAACAAGGGAATGAGCCAGGACAAGGAGCTGTTGCACAACCTCATGTTTGGAAAGCCACACCAAATATCATCCCCAGTAGTACCAGCAGGAAGCCAAGAGGAAGAGCAGCTCTCCTGATTTCTTAGAATGAGACAAGAAAGGCGCCAATTTGGACAGGCACCCTGCACATCTGAAAGAGCTCACAGCATTTCCACATTCCCCCAGGATGCTGTAATTCAGGGTGCTTGTGCCACACAGCCTTGGAGATCTCAATAAGCAACAGCTTGCAGTAAATTCAAAACAAATTAATTTCCAAGAATTAGATGCTTTCCCACAGATAGGAGCAAAAGGCTTCCAAGAGTTTTTAGCGTCCCAAAATGCGTGGCTGAAAAGTTGGTCACTAACTGCCAAAAGGATCTCACAGTAAAAGAGAAAAAAAGAGAAATTTTTACATTTCAACATGAATAAAAAGGAGAATAATTTATCTCATGCTTGTTTGCAAAATCAAAGTCATATGTACTATTTGCTTGAATAACCCTTCCATAGTTAAATGATTTTAGATAGATATTCACATTTATGAAGATCTGTAGTGATATTAAACATGAGTGGGCTATTTTTGGGATTTATTTGTTTTATACTATGCGCAGCAATACAGGGATGGAGAACAAAGATGTACACAGAAATGTTCATTTTTGCTGGTCATTTCTACAAAGCCATAAAAACTGGACTGACTGAAAAGTGTACTCATATCATTAATCAGTAAGAAAATAGTTTACTTAATTACCACTGTGATTCTGGCATGGGATTCCTAAGGGACAGTACAACCCATGTAATTTTTACTAATGTCAATGCCTAAGAGAAGGGAACAGCTTTGACTCAGCTTGCAGCATGTTGAGGAATCAGCAATTTAACACCTCCGTTAGGAGCTGAGCAGCCCAGGAAAGGCAGCAGGCAACAAAAGTAGCTTACAAGGAAGCACCTGAGATAATTACTCCTAAACATCCTCAGGGATTTTTCAAACCTCATTATCTGATTTAGGTGGTTTAGACCCTTTAAAATAAGAAAATAATATATGTAAAGACAGCACATTATCAGATTAAAGGCTTGGTTTTGGTCTGGTTCTTTTTTTTTTTTTCAAAAGATGGTTTTTGTTGGTATTACAAGTTTCTGTTTACTTTTTAAATTTTGAGGCAGTTGATTTTGCAATTAAGCCGTAACATTTCGAATTTTTGTTTTAAATCACGGTTCATACGTCAAAAAACATGAGAATGATATTATTGCACATTAAAAATCCTAATTAAAAACCCCAATGCAGTTTCACCATCTTTGCTGCTGATGATCCAAGATAAATCCAAATTGAAATTCTCCTGGAAAGCACAGCTTACTCTAGGACAGAGTGAGTGGCAGCCTGGGGGTGGTACCGGTACAGCAGGAGGCAATGGTTCACTCGAAGGACTCCACCACCCTTCTGGAGATGGTCATAAAAAAACAACAGATCCTCTGGGACACCCTGCAACAGGAAACAGTTACTGGATCAGTATTCAGTTACATCTGATGGTGTTTTCTTTTTCTGCCAAATGAATATGGTCCAACAGAATTGTTCCTCATAAATTTTGGGTGTGGACTCCCCAAGGCGAGGTTGGATGGGGCTCGGAGCTGGCCTGGAGGTGAAACAAGTTCCAACTATCTCTTTTAGTTCCAAGCCTATCTCTGATTCTATGCTATTATTTGTGTATGTCCCAATCATGAAATAAATGCAGCTAATGCTGCTGAACGAGCAGCATTCATTTGTAAATGAAGGGCAAGGGCAGAGGTGGAAAAATCAACGTCATCTCATTTTGATAGGGATCTCAAGCTTGGTGAAGGTGAATCCAAAAGAAAGAGAAACCCAGCTGCTAAACAGTTTGTGCAGCCTGAAGTTCCATGTAACCAAACAGTTTGTACTGCAAAGGATCAGTGACTTGAGAAGGGTTTTTTTCTCATTTTACTGGAATCCTCCTTCTTTCTCTGGCTGTCATACAAATGCTGGTCTCTACTTAGGAAAGGTGACTCAGGCCCCATAATGACAGACTTCAATAAAAACTGCAATAAAGGCAACCTCAGAATGAGGCAACATCTGAAAATATTTTTTTTTTTATTTTTCTTGAAACTTCCTTCCATGGTACATTCATCCTTATGGGATTGCACCCATTGCTGCTGAAAACACTACAGGATAAAAGCTCCTGCAATTGTGGATCTAGCAGGCTCTAGGAAAAATGAGGGATTTCACAGTAATTTCAACATTTTCCACTTAAAAATCAGAGAATCTTCATGCACGTCATGCAGAGTCAGAAGGGCAATTATATGGCTCATAGCACCCATTTCCATTTTTCCATTTCCATATGAAAGCATAAATCCACCTTTAAAGTCCTCCACAGAAGGTAAAAGAAGTAGTGTTTATTTATACTTTGCAAAGCTATAACTTCTTGAAATACTAGAACATTTCATTTTTTCATGTTTAAATACAGATATTTCTTCCCTGCAATACAGTGTTTAAAAGGTCACATGTTTTTTACCAGACTAAAAAGCTCCCTTTTATAAAACCAGGTGGGTCAAAGAAAACATTTTAGTGTAACAACAACAAAAAGCTGAAAGATAAAATGACAAACTTTTAAAGGAAAAGAAGTTGGAGAGATTGAAATAATTTTTTTTCTGTAGACAGTATGACACATATGAATAACCAGGTCATAAACCTCAACCTCAATTTCAACCATTCTATTTCAACACAGAAAAATAATAAGAGTACAAGCTAAAAAAAAAATAATTGAAATTTTCCCCTATTACTACAGCTTCTGAGTTTCTTCCATAATTAAGAAAATGAGATTCTCTAATTAAAGTGCTGAACTGGCCCTCTAGTAATGAGAGCAATACAGTTCAGTGACTATTTCTCATCCTCACCAGGCAGAGGGGTGTGGGAGCAGAAGAGAAACGAGACAAAAACCTCTCTGAACCTTGGAAAACAACTCCAGAGCACCCAGCTGAACATGTGAATCCTGGGGGGAATCAGAACCCAGTCGAGCTCTGGACTCTGCAGCTCCTGCCCTCACCCTGGTTCATGTGTGACACTGATTGGAATTGCCACATTCTGGATTACATGGATTCTGCTCACTAAGGGCAGCTCATCTGCAGCTATTGGTATTTGAGGACATTTGTCTGACTTCTGGTTTAAGAGCTGCAACGCAGAAGAAAACTTTTAGACCACTTGATACAATTTGTGCTTTATGTGGAACCTACTTTGAAAGCCACAAAAGAAATCTGGGGGAAGCTGGAGTGCCAGCCAGCAACCACAGTCACCAAGAATACAAGAAACACACAAAATCAATGTCTTTCCATTTATCTTGTAGCCCTTTCTATATTTTCCTTATTGTGGACTTGAAGGGAAATACTGAGCCAGCAGAAAAGTTCAAACCTTTTTTCTGGTCACACACAGCCATGTCTCAGGGCACAAGTGCAGCAGGTATCAGCTTGCTGCAGGAGCCAGATTTTGATTTTGATCTATAATTATGTCGCATCTCAGCAATTCCTTCTCTTTTGGACAAGCATTTACATTATTCAAGACAAGTGTAAATATGTATATTAAAGAAGAGTTAGTGCAGAAGTAAACGGATCTTTCAAAAAATGCTCTTTGATTCCAAGGGCTCTTCTTCTTTCCTTTAAGTGGCAGAAATTCTGTGGAATAAAGTGCACTCAGGCCTAGGAAGGAGCAGGTGCCTTGCACTGCTCAGCAGTGGCCTCTCACATTACAAAGGAGCAGCACTGCCATGGATTTTTCAGAGGAAAATGTTGACTGTGTTATGGATCCTGCAGGGATGGGACTTCCTCGGGCTCTTGAGCGTGTAAGTTTGCTGCAACACAAGAGTTCCTTCCCAGCTGAGATCTATTATTGGATCCAGATGGCATTTTAAACACCAGGAATCTTTGTGAAACAGCACAGCTCTGAAAGAGAAAGCTGTTTAACCACTAAAGGGATATTTTTATGTATTTTTTGAAAATGAATATCCATAGCTAAAAGTATCAATTACTAACCCAGCATTTCAGCAACAGGCTACCACATCAATAGCTTTCACCAAGAATAAATACAATTAAATTGCAGAGTTTACATGTTACTGGACTACATGCAGAATTTTCCATATTACAGGCAAAATCCAACCCCACATCCTCTGCTGCAAAAAGGCATAAACTAATTACAGCTCCCAGAGAAAAGCACAGCCTGCCCCTGCTCTGCTCTAACCAGCCAAATGCAAAATCATAGTTAATTTTTGCACATTCCCACTGAACAGGGGAAGGTTTCTGCTGACCCAGTATTTTGGGCACGTACTGCTTGGTGTGCTGATGGTGGTACAGATGAGGAACTGATTTTTTTATACACCATGGGGTGTGTCAAGCAAAATCTGAGTTAAAGGAACTCCTCTTTAAGGGGTTAACTAAATTATCTGTGAACTTTCTTGCTCATTGTTCTCACTCCTGCCAGCAAACTGTGCTCCAATTGCAGCCACCTCAACATTTTCCAAAGAGCTTCAAGCATCTCTCAACAAGCAATTCTTGCACAACTCTTGCACCTCCACCATCAGCAAGGATGAGGAGCATCAGCAGGGATCTTTCCAGGGCAAAGCCTGGAGGTTTCCCTGAGGGGCTTATTACCTTCCCAGAGGAACCAACAGCAAATTTTGGAGGAGCTTTAATTCAAGCTCTGTGATGATGCCCTGTGCAATGCTGTAACCATAAGCACCTGCTGAGGTCATGCTGGGATGACTAAGAGCAGCATTCCAGGCTGAAGGAACTTTCATTTGCTCACTTGGACAGAAACGACCATGGGGCTGCAGAGGCACATACACAATATAAAAGCTGCCTTTTACTGCTAAACCAGAATCAATCTGTCCCAGCTTCCTCACCCATCCCTATCCAGCCCTGTCTCAGTCCCTGCCCTGTCCCAGCTCACAGACACTCTGGCAGAGGTGACAGATCTTTGTGAGCACAACCAGTGGAGATTTAGCCTGTGCAGAGAAGTCTGACTGGTGAAACTGGGAGATCTACCATCATTTCATGAATACAAGCACTTATAATAAACAGCAATGACAAATAAGACAGGAGAAGTGCATCAATCCACAGGGGAAAAAGCCTTCAGGTTTGAAAGTGCTTGGTCCTCCCTTTTGGTCAGGGGCATCAAGGAAAACTAGGCTGCAACATTTTGAAAACCACTCAGCACCATCAGGGTAATTGTTGGACAGAAAAAATCACTCAAATTCCTCAGAGGAGCCAAAAACTGGTGAGTGGGAAGAATTAAATAGCTATTAATAGCTTTTCTACAGGATTATCCAAGATATTCTTGTCTCCCTTTCTGCAGATCTGTCACTTCATTTCTTGGCTCTCATCCAAATGCCTTTCCATCATTTTGCCTTGATTACAGGACCCAGAGCACATTAGGATTTATTTTATTGTTTAGGAAATAACAGGTTAAAGGAAACTCCAAAAGGTTGCTTTCATTCAAATGTCTTGGCACAGAGAAATTCAGTTAAACAAAGATGATGGGGAAGTCAAATGGAAGGGAGGTGGTAAATTGTAAATGATGTTTAATAACAGACCAGCAGAAAATATAATTAGACATGGGGTATGGGGTGAGTTTTCAAATAGCTCATAAAGTGTAATTAATCACAGGCTCCACCACTTTTTCTCTGCTGCTTTTTAGATCAAATATTGATCTCTGTTCAGCCTCAACTATATCAAGCCAAAAACAAACCAAAAACCCCCAGTAGTGTCTGCATTTTATCCCAATTTTCCCCACAGCATCTTGATAGCTTATTTGACAGACTGAGAGTATTTTAATTCACATTCCAAAAAATCAAATTCCTACTTGGCCTTTTACCTCTCAGGCATTATTACAACCACTTGCCTTTCTGAATGGAATGACATTTGTGTGCTCTGGCAGGGAAACGTGGAAAATTGCATCAGTGGGTGCCTAACAGCCACATTTACCTCAGAGCTTTCCACACGGCCTACAGTCTCCTGTGCTCAAAAGGATATTTTGACACCTCCTCAGTTCGTGTTTTTTGTGACCTTTTATCACAAAAATAGAATGAAACTGAGCTCCAGACACTTTGTTCAGAGTTTGTATTCAGAAAGGCTGGTGCTTTACAATGCACGATTCCATCTGGGGCTCATTAGGAATAATTTTCCCCCTGTTTACACTTTGAGATTAGCTCAGAACTTTAAGGCTGTCACTCCATTTTCAGTTTTCATACACTTAAAAAGGAAGGATAAACACAGGCGTGACAGGAAATTTGGAAGCAAGTTGTGGTAAAATTCTAGAGAAAGAGACAAGTCTGGCACGTAACAGTTGTGATGTGGAGAGTAATTCTGCCTGGAGAGAGCCAAGAGTGCAATTTTCCACCCTTGCATGCAGGGCAGCAATGCTCATTTGTACAGCTCCCCTTGTACTCAGCATTTCTGTCAGACACATGAAAAAATAACTTTTCTTCACTAATAACAGGCACCTCATCTCCCACTGCACACAACTGGGGAGTTCCCCACTCTAACAGATGACACAGCTTTAAAACCTGCTTTTCACATTAGGCCAGAACATGGGCATTTTTCTCCCCAGCACAATTTTTTGTGATGCTTTTGGACACGGTTATTACTTTTTAACAATGGTGCTACTTATTGGGAGACACCAAAAACTGCAGCAGCAAAGCCACCCGTGGTAATGTCACACACCAAGTGGCAAACGGGAGTTCTGAAGGGTTTAGGAAGTGCTGCTACTTTTTGCAATAAGGAAGTACTGCACTTTTTATCCAAAATTGATTAAAAGATTATTTCATTTTCCTAAAAAAAAAAAGTTAAAAATATGGTTCATCATGTGACTCTTCTTCCAGCAGGGGATACTATTTGAAATGTAACTTTACAGGCTTGTGACCACTTCCATTGTATTATCTCAGTCTCAGAACACCATCAGAGCTTGCTAAAATCTTTTCAGTACTCCTGCTTTAATTATCATTCATCAGAGATGGCATAAATAATTTTAGTTAATTAATATATTTTTTATTTTCATTAATTAATATATAAAACCTGTCTGGTTCTTACAGACTATTTATGAAGATATTATTTTGTTTGGATCTAAAGGAATTCACTTCCAACAACTGAAGATCTTCATGAGAAAGAACTTCATTTAAAAAAAAAAGAAAAATGGAAAAACCTGTTTCACCTAATGCCTGAATGACTGGAGAGAGAAATATCTATCTGGAATAAAAAAAGGATTTAAAAAAGGTTTACACCATAGCACATCTATTTGTATTTGATCACTCCACCCACTCTATTACCATCAACACCAAATCATAATTTCTCCCATGGAAGAATTACCCTCCATTCTTTCCTCAGCACTGAAATACGAAGAACAGGTGTTTGGATTTAATTTCAAATGAGAAATGCAGCTTTTTGGCAAGAAACAGCTCAGCAAATGGAGAAGGCCAAAACATGGGGATTTGTTGGCCTGTTCTGTGTTTACTTTCAGCAATGTGACACTGGCAAGCCTCATTAATAAACACTGACTCAAAAATGGAGATGGAAGTGATCAGATTAATGCAGATCCTGGCTCAGGTCAGAACTTACAGGGATGAGACCCTTCAGAGTATTCTCAGCTCTGCTGATACACAGAAACACTTCCTTTGCTTTAAAGGGATTCTTTTCAAATGAAAATGAACAAGTTAGAGCAATGTTAAATACTTTGTAACACTAAATGCTCAAGATTTAAGGCTTGATTTTGTGTCCTCTAAACCTACAGAAGACAAAGGTTTGAGTTCACTGCTTTGTTCAGGTCTGTCCTGTTTTTAGGGTATTTTTCTGAAGGTCTCTGCATCAGCCAGAGTCTGAGCTTGGGCATGTTGGACACCTCACAATAGGGACAAACAATAAGTTCAACTTATCACTGGTAATTCTTCAAACTGGAAGGACATATCAAGCATTGTGGCTGAAAAATCATCAGGATTAAGATTGTCAGTGAATAACCAGTGGCATAGTTCCTACACAATTACACAGAGAGAGCAAAACAGAAAAAAACCAACTCATAAAACAAAACAAGGAGGGAAAAAAGCCAAAATGAAAAGCAAAAAGCACAGAACAATAGTCTATTTAACTTAACCTCTTGAACTTTATCATTAGGCTTGCTGTTCTATTGTTGCTGCTGCTTTAACTTGCTTGCTTTCTTTCTGGAGCTTACTAACAACACTCAAGAAGTCAAACATCCTTCAGAGAGTGAAAATACAATGATAAGGAATAATAATAAAAAAGAAATAAAGATCATGGGTCAGTAAATGTAGATTGTATTGGGAGCCAGGCACCATTCCCAGCTCTTCCACTCACCCACCATGTAATTAAGGGCAAATCTTTTCACTGCTCTAAACAATTCAGTTCTCTCTCTGCTGTCTCCTTATAATTATAATTTTTTTGGCAGCCGAAAGAATAATATTTGTATATCCTCATACATACACACACATGTATATATATACACACACTGCATGGCACTGAAGGGCTTCATTTAAAAGCTATAAAAATAATAATAATCATCATCATCATCTGTTGTAGATTAAATAATTAAATAGGAAATAGCCTTAGCAGATTTGTTTTAGAGTGCTAATAAATGAAAGCTTAAAAAAAAAAAAAATCAAAACCACCCATTTTAGCCCTAAAATCTCAGCAAAACCACTGGAAGCCAAACCTCTCAGAACCAAACCACACAAAATGGATCCAAATGTGTTTAAATTAGATCTATTTGCCAACATATTTCAACTACCACAATAAATACTGCTAACAGACATCCATGGAATTTATTCCACAAACACACTGATGAGCTTAAAGCAATCCAATTGAACTCATACAGGAAATTCATAAAGACAAAGAACACCTAACTGTCAGGGAAAAAACACTTCTGAGACCACAGGTATTGAATTTGTAACCTCTCAGCCCTGATCCTTGAGCAGAAGCTACTTAAAACCTTCCAAGGACAAGCACAAGAACTAAGACTGACAAGAGGACAGGTGGATAAATGAGTTTTTGTGGTAATACTTTTATGGCCCTTCTTTTTCCCTCTCAGGTATATAAACCTTCCCCCTTAGGTGAAGGTACTTTTATCTCTCTGCCATTCTTCACCTTCCTTCCCTCCCAACCTCTTTCAGCAATCAACCTCACCCTGCTCAGAACAAAAATAAGGGCTCACCTGTTTTTAGCATCTATTCCAGGGACAAAGAGGAGCTTGGATGTCTGAAACTTTATTTTTTCCAGGTTTGCTGACACATTGAATAGATGTGTTACAATGTCAACTTCAGGTAGGTCCTTCCATCACCAGAGTTATTCCCAAACAACTTCAGTTGGTTGGAGACAGGATTTTGTTTAAAAATTGTATGACCTACATTTTTTTAGAGCTGTTTTCATCAACACCCTTTCCCTATATCTCCTTAATAACAGGTAGAGGCTGATAAACAAAGGGATGGCTCCTGGACTCCAGATCACCTGCACCACTCACCTTTCCACCCTCATCAAACCTCCCCACATGGAAAAACCACTCCCGAGAGCAGAACCAGGTTGGCATGATCACAGTGGGCCCGTGGGAGGTGAACACCTAGGGGAAAAAGAGGGATAAAAATCCAGTCAGTTCACAAAATATCAAACCCAGCAGCTGCTGAGGAACAAACAGACCTCACACATTCACCTGAAATTGTGCCTGTGCCTAAACTTGAGCAATTTCAAGCATGAGAAGAGCAAGTGCTGGAAATTTAGCAGGTTCTTAGTGTGTACCAGAATCTCCCAGGTGCCACAGCACAAAAGGTGAGTCTGGTTCCTGCTTCAAATTCCATGGCCTTCTCTTCTCCTCCAAGCTGCAACACATTCAGAGTACTTAAAGAATTTTTCCAAATTTAGAGTATTATACTGGAGCTGGCACTTGATCAATAATGATGATGTTAATGTGGAAATGAAGCAATTGAGAAGAATCACAGAAAGTTCACGTTCTTAAACTGAACCCTACAATTCCTGAGCATTGATTTTTTTTTTCCATTTTATACTCCTTATACATATATTAAGTGTGAACTTTCACTGATCTTTTCTTTCTGCCAAAGACACTTAAATCCTAATCAAGCTTGGACAAGTAAAATGCAATTTGTTTTAAACATTACCTGAGTACTGAGGATTTGCTACCCAGGGGTACCTACAATTAAAGGTTTTTGGAAAGGAAGAGCTTTACGTAGAGAAAAGGGAGTAACTATTAAGTTCATCTCTTCATTTGTGACAGCCAAGAACTGCACAAACGGGTCTTTGAAGCTTTAAACAAACTTGTTGCAAATACAACTGTGAAATAAGCCAGAATGTGGATGACAGGAGGTAAACTGGTTCTTTTTTTTTGCACAGGATGAAGTATCCAGGCAAAGAGGAGACTGAACCTGTCAAACACAAGGTGCAAAGTGAAGGCAGGAGCTTCCAGCAGAGACACAGGAACTGCAGAGCACACCCTGGGTCATGAAGAAAAACCAACTTCACAACTGCTGTCACTCAAATGACAGTGCTGATCTGCAAGCTGACAATTTCATGTTTCAGTGGTAATATTAATATTCCTGTACATGTGAAGTTCTTAAACAGAGTGTACATTTGTCACATGCATCTCAGCATCTTCATTTTAAAGGTGCTCCTCTTGATGTCAGCCTGAGGGAGCTCCACAAACTCTTATGTCTGGCCACTTCCATTTCCACAGATAAACATGGACTTAAAACCAAATAAAGACATTTAAATCAATTGTCCAAATTAATTAAATTAGAAATCCAATCAAAATGTGACAGCAAAATTCTCCCATTTTTCTTACAGGGTGAAGCACACAGCATGGCAGCCCCAGGAGCACAATGACAGAAATTCACTGTCCCTAAAGGCATCTTAGGGTGACTCATTTTCATCCAGACACTTCAATTCTAGGCTCTCATATTTAGTCACAACAATCCTATCACCTAATGTGTCTTAACTCATCAGCAGGTTGCCCAGAGCTGAAATATTCCAGTTCAGAGGTGTTAAATGTAAAAATCTCCCCCCAAGAGTCAGTGGGAGCTGAAGGAGTCAAACCAAGGCCAGAAAAGCAGAGCAGCCTGATTATCAGCACATGGTTATTAGCTCCACATTAATTACAAGGGCAATTGAGTATGGCCTGAACCAAACAATGAGCAAACAGTAATCCCAAAAGAAAACAGCAGCAGGGAGAAAATCCAGGCCAGAGGGCATTGCATTGAATCTCATTTCTGAAAGAAACAAAAACTTCAAAAGAAAGTCTTGAGCCCATGGGTACTTGTGAAATGTGTCTGGAGAGGCCAGAATGGCATTTCCTCAGAGCTGCCAGGTCCCTCAGGGATCAGGAATGCACTTCACCTCAGAGCTGGAGCTCCAAGCCGTCAGCTGTGCTCATGTGCCAAGAGCATCCCTCCCAAACACCCCAGATAATGTGTTCAATGACACAGACACTTCTGTGAAGCCAGACAGAACAGACTATTTTATAATAAATAATAATTTATTATTATTATTTTATAATAAATCTTCTTGTAATGCTTATTATAATTAAAACAAATATATTATCAAATTATTTTATTATACTTATATTTAATAATATTAAATATATGAATATTTCTTATATTAGCTATATTATGACAATATATTATTTTATAACACTAGTAATTATTTTATTAATATAATTGTTATTGTTATTATGAAAATTTTAAGAGAAAACTTCCAAAAGGCACTGATGTTAACACAGATGATAATTTTACAGCAGACCATCACACACTGCATACACTGATGTCTCTCCCAAACCCAGCAGTGTTCTGTGGCTCACTGTCCATCTCAGCAGAGACCCCAGAGGAGCAAACACGGGCAAAACAGAGACTGAAGAAGCTACACATGATTTCAGATCTTATCCTTCAAGAAGGCTAAACCTGCACAGAACAGCACCTGATACTCAATGAATTGGCAAATAAACTTTTCCTACATGAACACTTACAGTGCAACATCAAAACTGACTTTAGGAAATTTATTTGTGCTCCTGTCACAAAGGACAAATTCACACCACCTTGTCCCTTCCTATGTAAGAATAACTTTTGTGAAGCTGAAATTCTCTTTGTTGTTGTTGTTAGTTTGGTCTTCAGCTGAATCTCCTGATCCAACAAACCAGAAATCAGCAGGAGGATGTAGGAAAACAGGGCACCAAGCAGAGAGAACAAAACCCTTCTTATTAGCAGTAGAGATGATCCAGAAATAATCTTTAACCTGATAAAACTGCTAGAAATCTACATGTACACCACATTTACATTAATGAAGAGCTCTCCCACTCATCCTGCACACCCCAGTCACAACCCTGGCACTCCCCTGACCCCAGGATGGATCAGAGCACCACATCAGTAAAAAGCCATTATTTTCCTTGTTTCTAGTGTTAGTTTTCTACAGCCTTGGTTCTCTGAGTCAGTTCACTGTGGGGTCAGAGCAGCAGTACCACTGACACACTGGAGAGGGAAGGAAAAGCTTGGGAGAGGAAAACAAGCCCTCCCTTTTTGGTCACTGCCCACAGTTCATGAGTCCAGCTGAAACATAAAACTGCATCCTCTGAATACCCACTCTGAGGGGAGGAGAACTGGCCAGGAAAAACACTAACAACTGTTCTGAAACACTGAGGCATCTGCCAAACTTCTGAAAACCACCTTCCAGAGCTTTTGAAATTTTATCTTCAAGAGAAAAAAAAAATAAGCTCAACCTTCTGCACTTTGGAAATTCTATATTTCACCTTGGTTTAGTCTGATGGGAAAGTTTCCTCTGTATTTCTTTTTTGTCTATTCTTGTCATAAACTCTTGCCAAGGTGTTAAAAAATGGTCAAATTGCCTTATTCTGTGATAAAAACTGCAACTTCTCACTTTGTGAGACCGACACTCCAGATTTTATCCATAAATCTTTTAGATTGCATGGACTGGAATGAGAGAACCAAAGAGGACATGCTAGTCTTAACTTGACAATCAATCAAAAGCAGAATTTGAATGATGGTGCCATCAACTATGTTTAGGTTTCTTGGAAATATCCTCCAACTGTGCTTAACAAATGTCTTGTGTCACCTTGGAACACCAGTGGGTTTCCAGACCTCCTCAAGGAATTAATTCAGTATTCTGAGAGCAGGTTGGACCTGTGAACCTTTCACACACAGCTGGGTTGAAAGATTAATGCTTATTAATAATACTTGTTATTAATTACGGAACACTGTATGCTGTTTAAAAAATCTAAATATTGAATATTTCATGTTAAAAATCAGAATATGAAGGTATAAATCTGCTCAGGGTTTGAATTCCTAAAGAACAGTGTTGTCATAATCTAACTGGAATCCATCTCCAGACGATGGGCACAAATTCCCATTTCAGCATCTTATTTACAAAATTATTTAGAACTTTTATAACCAGCTGGGTTTATTCCAAGGATCAAGTAGCAAGTAATTGAACCTGCTTTGTTCTTGTTCACTGTTTGGCTATCGAATTACATCCAAGTGTTACACAGATTCTCTGAAAATAAATCTGAAGAACACAAAGAGCTGATAAAGTGACTTTCATTGTTGTGTTTCAAAGCTGTCAGCAGCACATGGAACTCTGGTTCCCACTGATGCTCAGTGCAGGCCATGCCAGCATTCAGTGCAAAATCTCAGTTCCAACACAGGGAAAGGCATTTGTGTGTTTACAGAAACTTCTCAAGGAAAGTTCTCTTTCCTGAAGCAGCAAATCAAAGTCTAACAGCAGTGATAAAAGCAGATATGCAGATTGTGAAACAACTTTATCACATCAGATATCATGCAGGACACACAGGGGAAACCAGGCAGCTCCCAAAAGCAACAGATTCAATTTATTCACAGGCTTTCCAAAGCAAGGGGCTAATTCCCCAAAACACACCACAAATTTAATTCTACTCATGCTACAGCATTTTTCAAAATTATATCCACAAAAATCAAGGATTAGACACAATGAGATTAGACACAATGATTAGAGACATTTGTTGAGACAAATGAAGCTTTCTCATATCCACAGGCATACATTGACATGTTAGAAGGTAAAAAGAAAAGAAAATAAATCCCATGGGGAGGGCCACAGTGATTCTGTAAGCAGAGCACAGACTGAAGGGCATCACTCCTGACCTTGAAGCAATGATGTTAAAATACCTGAGCATTAATTCAGCAATAATTGTACCAAGACCTTGTTACTAGGGTGTACCAGGTTTACATCCAGAATCAAGTCTGTGTGTGTGTGAGAGAAAAGGTACAGAGGGAAGGGAAGAGAAAAAAAGACTCTTCCTACTTCAGAAAAGTATGGGCAGAGAGGATTTTTCAAAAGAAAATAACTACAATGAGCTTTATGAGGCTTTTAGGAAGGCAAGCAGCCAGTGTGGAATGGATTCCATGCAGTTGGTTTATATTGCACTGAACTGCTGTACCCTTTCCTGGGCTTGCAGAAATAACTGGAGTTATTTGTGTCACCTCATCACTGCAAGCTCTGAGAGCAGCTGAAAATCCTTCTCTAAGGAAGCTGGAATCCAGCACAGCAAAAAGCAGATTATTGAAACAAACC